AACAGGAAGATAATACTCATGAAAACAAGCCTAAAAAGATCTCAAAACTGCAAGCCATAATTCGAGAGTTGTCAGTCGTACCAATTTCCAATGAACCATTAATCACTGTACCTTTCGAAGAATCTGACATGGAAGATATATCTAATAAATTCTACCACCTATATTATGGAGTTGATGACATTGAAAAGAAGGGGAATCGAACAAATCGGAAAGTAATTAATTATTATTTTTGATTTGGGAAAATACTATCAGAGCGCTTCACTGTGTTGTTAAAGAGCAAGCCTCTGTAAACAGTATATATTGATCTAAACAGTAAAGTTAAAGAGTATCTTCTAACAAATCTCAATAATACTATGGTATGTAAAAGGACCAATACTGCCAGAAAAATTTATGATATATTTAATACTATCGGGGAGAATAAAATTTTGTGGGTTAAATCATTTACTATGTCTAGCTTTTCTGACTTAAGTAGGAACGAGGTAAAGTATATTATGGAAAATTTCCCTTTGATAAATACTAGTTCTATTAATCTGATATTTTCTTTATCAGAACTTATTTATACTGATTTTGAGAATAAACTTTAATAAACTATTATGTATCTGAAAATTCGATGCTCATACATATTTACTATGCCACAGTCACGTGACACCGTTCTGGCTCAGAACACCCTCTTGCACTTAAAATTTGTAAAATAAAGATTGTGAAATCTTATTTCCACGGTATTACTGATTAAACGTTTTATGGATTTGCAAAATTATTTTAAATATATTTTAAGTGTCTTGACACTAGCTCCGCTATCGTAACAAATATGTATCGTGTTTATAAGTCAAATACTATGCACTCATCATATAACTTCTGAAACTCTCCACAGCTCTAAAGAGATATGTCTTGTATTTCTTGATATAAGATCAGGAGTTATACAATCTGGCTCTTTAGGAATACATCTTTGAAGCATATTGACATATAGAAAATAATTTTGAATTGGATCTGAGAAATAGAGTGTTTTTATCTGAGTTGGATACTAAAGAACTAAAAGATGATGAGCTAGAAAGATTAACAATGTTCTCAACAGTAGATAGTCTTGACCGTGCCAACTATACTAATTCTATATCCTTATATATCGAAACAAATTCTTTATCTTTTAAGCGTAAACCTAAATCAACAAAAAATAAATTCAAATATAATTATATATATTGAATCAAATCTGATTATATCTGCCACCCAAATTCAAAATCCAAATGCTGAAATCCCAAATTCCAAATTCCAATCTCAAATCCCAAATTCAAATTATTTTTGGCACCCCAAATTATTTTTGGCATCCCAAATTTATTTTGGCATCCCAAATTATTTTTGGCATCTCAAATTAATTTTGACATCCCAAATTAATTTTGGTATCCCAAATTATTTTTGACATCCCAAATATTTGAGGATAAAAAAAAATATTTAAATTAATGTAATAGAATTAAAAGAAGTTAATGTAAAAGATAATAAAAATTTTTAAAATATCAT